CTCAAGCAATCCTCCTGCCTCAGCCTCCCAGAGTGCTAGGATCATAGGCATGAGCCACTGAGCCCAGCTGAACATTTTCCCAAATTCTTTATAATCATTTTTAATGGCTGTCTAACATTGTATGATAAAGTGGCTTGACCAGGGTTCATTTTACTATGCCCAGTCATTGGACCTTAGTTGTGTCTAATTTTTCAATATTATAAATAATCATAAAATGAATTCTCTCTGGACAAAATGTTTTTCCTATACCAAAGATTATTTCCTTAAAAAAGATTATTTAGAAGTGGGATTACTGGGGCTGGGTGCCATGGCTCACGCCTATAATCCCAGCATTTTGGGAGGCTGAGTTGGGAGGATCCCTTGAGCCCAGGAGTTTGAGGCTACAGTGAGCTATGATCACACCACTGCACTCCAGCAAGGGTGACAGAGTTGTAAGATAAGGGTAAGGGTAAGGGTAGGGGTAGGGGTAGGGAAAGGTAAGGTAAGGTAAGAAGCAGAACTACTAGGTCAAAGGGTAAGAACTGTTTTTTAGAATAAGTAAACATTTAACAACAATCTCTCTTCTATATTGCTGCCAGAATTGCCTCCCTAAAACACAGAAATGACCATGTCACTTTGTTTCTCCATCTTTCTTCAACTTCCCAGCACCAAACTCTTGTGCATGACCACCTGGCATGCCTCCATCAGTATTCCCTATGGGTAGGACCATTTTAAGGTTCTTAACAGCGCAAGCTACTTACAAATCGTTATAGCAACTTACACTGCACTAGCCATGCTGGAGAACCCAGATTACACCTTTGCCTTTGGTCTCATCATTTAAAAAAAAACCTTTGCTAATTTGGTAGCAAAAGTTATCTTGTTTTAATTTTTCATTTCTAAAATATTTGCATTTCTCTGTTTACTAATGAGTTTGGAGTTGGGTGCACATGTGTGGATGAGTTAATATTTTTAGAGTCTAGACAGACACTTGACACCTACTAGCATACTTCACCATTTTCATATTGATTTATATGAGTCCTTAAGTGACACTGGTATTAAGTATTTGAATTTAAAAATATGTATGTGTGTATATCTCCATATATTGATAATGCAGACAATAAACTATATTCTTAAATTAGTGTGGGGAATATAATTTACCATTGTCACAAGTTTTTTATAAACCCACTATGGATGAAAATGTCACAATACTGTCCTAAGGCAGATTAAGGTATAAGATTAACCTGAATGTTTAAGAGATGAACAAACATATACAATAAAAGTGGAGTTCGGTTGGATCTTATTTTTGGCCAATAGAACCATTTTTAGCTTGACTTGACAAAGAATCATCAGTAAAGGGTAAAATGTTTTTCAGGAAAAAAAAAAAAAACCTAAAGAACAGCCATGGAGGAGTACGCTCCGGAGCCTTGCCCATGGCGAATTGTGGATGATTGCGGTGGAGCCTTCACTATGGGTGTCATTGGCGGTGGAGTCTTCCAGGCCATCAAGGGCTTCCGCAATGCCCCAGTTGGAATTTGGCACCGGCTGAGAGGTAGTGTCAATGCTGTGAGGATCCGAGCCCCCCAGATTGGAGGTAGCTTTGCAGTGTGGGGGGTGCTGTTCTCCACCATGGACTGTGGCCTGGTGCGGCTACGGGGCAAGGAGGATCCCTGGAACTCCATCATCAGTGGAGCATTGACCGGAGCTGTGCTGGCTGCCCGCAGTGGGCCATTGGCCATGATGGGCTCAGCGATGATGGGGGGCGTCCTGTTGGCCCTCATCGAAGGTGTTGGCATCCTCCTCATTCGCTACACAGCCCAGCAGTTCCGAAATGCACCCCTATTCCTGGAGGACCCCAGCCAGCTGTCCCCTAAGGAGGGTAGCCCGGCCTCAGGCTATCCCAACTATCAGCAATACCATTGAGGAAGCCACCGCCTTCCACCGCCACCATGGGAGCTGCTCCTCGCTTCCCTCCCCGCTGATCTACCTCGAAGGGAGGGCTGGCTCCCAGTTAGCCCTGGGACCCTCCAGAGAGGGCTTCTACTGTGCTCCCTTGTCCCAGGGTGGGGGTGGGGCACCCCAGCTGCCCTGACAGAT